TGTGAGCCGCCCGGAGTCCTCCGGGAGTGGGCGGCATACAAGACAAATTAATAAAATTAGAAACACTACAAATAGCAGATAATAGCACAAAAATGCCATTGCTGTTCAGATGGAAATCAAATACCCAAATCTATGCATTAGCTGTAAGGTGGGGGGGGGGGGAGATGCAGTTAAGAAAGTCTAAACCAGCCTCTCCCAACTAAAAGCCCACTATTCTTGTGATTTTAAAGCAGAAGAAATACTAAATGGGATCTTTGACTTTCTTGGAGATCAGTGGTAAAGGAAATGAACACAAATTTGGACCTGAAAAACTAAAAAAAAAACACCTGCTGTCTTCTTGTGAGTATGGAATGATACATCACAGGCCTACTCTCTTACATTTTTCTAAGCATTGTGTAATCTTGTGAAAGTTTTGTTTTCATTGTTGTTAGTTGTTGGGATCTTTTCCCCTTTTGTTGCAGTTTGTAAAAAAAATGGAAATGGTAGATAATCGAACACTTCTTGTAGGGGAAAAATCATAAAATGAAATCAATTGATCAATAACATCTAGATAGTCAGGTTTTAGATTTCTGTCTGAAATATACAGTATTTGTGTGGATTGATGTAAATTACAAGGGGGGAAATGGTCAACTGTTAATAGTAAAAGAATATTTAACTGAATACTTTCTCAATACTTTTTTCCTCTGATGCTATTCTTCACAATTTCCGTTGACCAACAAGAAGCATTTTTGTTCACTTCTGAAGAAGAAATTGTGAATTGAGGTTAGCATAGCTTAAAGGGGAGCTGATGATTCCTGGGAATGACGAGCCAGCAAGTAGACCACTTCGTTTTAATTCCTGTCCAAACAAGGAAGGTTTAGTGACTTGATTTAAGGTTGCCTTGATATCAAGTGGTACAGAGAGTTGTTCCTAAATCAGTGGTGGGTTGCAGGTGGTACACCCTGGTACGGGCATACCGGTGCCTGCCCGGAGCACCGGGTACCGTTCCAGTATGGTGCTCCGGAGGGCCCAGTTGCTTGTCCGAGCTCCTTACCTATATTTAAGGTCTCCGGCGCTTCCACTTCTGTGCACAGAGTGCATGGTGCCTGTGCAAAGCTCCGCCGAGCAGCTGGAGCATCGCGGAGTCTCGCAGAGGTATCGCAAGAGGAAGGGACGCATGTGCACTGCGCACGTGTGCGTGCATGCTGCGCGTGTTCATGTAGTGGACGCCGGGCCCCGTTGCAACTGTACCAGTTGCAATGGGATCCAGAACCCACCACTCTCCTAAATCCAGTGGATTTAGAGCTCTGGGAAACAAGGAAATAGACATCATCATGATCAAACTATGGTCACTGCCTTTAAGGACACCCGGTTCACATGCTTCCTTTTCTATTTACTTTTGGAAATTGCTTGTTAACTGCTTTTTAGGTATTAGAAGACTTTGAATCAATAAGCTTGAAAACATTGGGGGAGTTTAGTTCAATTCTTAGCAAGTTTTAAATACAAACATTTTAAATACAAACACACACACACACACACACAACAACAACAACAGGTAATTAGAATTTTGATTTTGGAAAGTTAAAAGTGGACTAAGAGTCCAGATGATTTAAAATAAGAGTTTGGAATGAATTGTAAGAATCCTTCCTATGGAATAAGTTTTGAATTGAAATATGTCATAGGATGAGACTTTGAAAGTTGAGACTTTGACATTAGAGGAAAGAGAAAAAAACTAAAAAGTATAATTAAAGCAGAACCTTTAAACCTTTGCTATTATAGAATGAAGCAAAATATTTTAAAAGTGAACATACAGAAGGATTTTTGAATGGTGGACTCAGAAGTTAAGAGTGTCTGTTTCTATAATTAGCCTATGTTAAAAGATGTTATGGGAGAGAAAAAAAAATATCTGACAAGCTTGATTGATCTGAAAGTGAATTTAAAAATGACAGACTACAAGAATGGTATTTAAAAAAAGGATGCTACCCTAAACATACAAAAGAAACCAACTGATGTTGTAATAAAAACGATATAGAAATAGCCCAAGTGAGTGACTTGAATAATTTCCCCATACTGGATTTCAAAAGAGGGTTGTTAAAACTTGGAAGAATTTTACAAGATAAGACAAAGAAAAAATGAAAAGAAATAAAGTTCCAGGACATTATTTGAAGGGACTAATGATCAAGATAGGTAAAAGTAAGAGTAAAAGTAAAAGTAATACAATTTGTTGCATTTTAAGAGAAAGGATAAATTCCTAAAATTGTTTATAATTGTGATGAAGAGGGAAGTTATTTCCTTATAAATTTCCTTTCTTCAATATATTTTTTCTTTTCTATTTTTCTTTCTATTTTTTATTTTTTGCACCAATTTTTACTCCTTTTTATTGTTTTCTATTGGTTTTTATCTTTACACTTGTAATTTTCAATGAAATTAATATTTAAAAATTCTACAATTTCCTTTTTGGTTGTTGTAGCTCTTAATAATGTTATAGACATGATACAATCTTAAATTGTTACTCAACACTGTTCTCATCACATGCCTTCCAATACACTAGAAATATAAGTTGGACTACAATAGTCGATAACAATATTAATAGACTCATTGATCTGAAACGGATCTTAGAAGTAATCTACTTGAATCTTCTGCTCTGCAGGAGCTATAGAGCATCTCTGGCAGATGATCATCTAGCTTTTGTCTGAAGTACTTCAGTGAAGGAGAAATCACCATGTCACATGGTAGCCTACACTAC